CGTGGGGCCTGACACTGAAATCCCTTACCTTGTACTCTGTGCTTGCCACAGCTCGCCTCCAGACGGTGCACAGCAGCCTGTCCCAGATGCTACGTCTTCTTTCTGAAACATCATTAAGGCAGGAACGACAGAAACTTCAGCAGTGCGCACTGCCAAACACACAGTACCACAGGTTCAACTCTTGACGGGGCCTGACTTTGTAATGACGCTTTTGTAATCGAGGGGATTCCCTTCCTGCTTCTTGCAGAGTGGTTTCTGAATACGTGTGTCAGTTCTGAAGAAGAGCACACTATCACCCTGAGTGCCACCAAGTTATACAGGTACAATTCTACCTACTCACTTTACCTCATCCTGTCCCACTTCAACCTTTTTCTTAGCCCACTGACACATTATGACCTTCACTAAAGTTACATGGGAGACAGACTATGACCATCAGAATAACAAGGAGGTGCCTGTCCTAAAAAAAAACCAGTCTACAGGGGTCTCACGCAACAGGGGTCATCATCAGACACTGGAACAAGAGTAGAATGGCAGGTGATTCAGTCATCTCAGTCTGCCTGCAGCAGGAGATGGTAACCCCTGCAACTGAACAGGTCACTCGACTGTGTCCAACTGAAACACTCTCAATTATACACACGTGCATGCACACACATGTGAACACAAGAACAGACACTGAATTTCCATGCTCACGTGCCATTGCTGTTTCTATTTCCACTCCAGCCTTTAGTCTGTGGAAAGTCCGGTTAACAGATTCAGCACAGATTGTGCATATTGGTGGTCATGGAAATCAGAGTCAGCGAAACGGGAAATGCGAACGCATCCTGAGAGAGAAAGAATCAGTAGATTTCATTCCCTTATTCCATCCCAATGGCATGAATGAATGATTCACTGAACACAGGCAAAGGGAAACCATAGACAAAACCTTCCACAGTCTCCTGGAGGTGGTAGGTATTGTTGGCAATGGGGGAATTTCCCATCCAATCCATTATGGAGGGTGTTAAACCTGGGCTGCGGTGACAGGTTTCTTCTCTCTTGACAGACAGACTCGGATCCTATTGTCAGTGTGGGCCACCTCTCAGAACATAATAACACAGGTGTCAACCCAAGGATTTGAAGTCACGTTAAAGGGGCATGCAGGTGCAAGGAGAAAGCACCTTAACCTGTCAGACAGATGCTGAGGCTGTCAATAGATTCTGTGTGTGTACAGAACAGGGACAGACACACATCCACAGCCTGGCCTAACTACAGTCTCCATGAGGACCGACAGCCGAGTGTTGTCATGGTCAATATAGTCACACCTGTGACTGATCAGGAAAGGTGTGGGTTCTGTCCCCACTTTGCCACTCACCATCTCTGTGCCTGGCAGGAAATTGCCAAAACTTTCTGCTGCCGACTCTTCACTTTTGTCCATAAAGCAGCAATGTCTCTGCCCTCAAAGCTTTGATGAAGATTCACAAAGGAGAGCTGGATGCCAATGGCTCTTAAATATGCATTTCAGGATATCTGGGGATTGCCCACACTGAGGTTCAGTCCCTAGAAGAAACACAGGAGGTGAGGGAGTTTGAGGTATTATTTTTCATTCTGAACCACCTTTCCTTGCTAGATAGCTGTTTAATTAGTCAAGGATCATTTAGAGATATACAACATAAAAGGAACCATGGGTGTTCATGTGTGTGTGAACCAAACCACTACCCTTAGGTCCTGCCCTGATGTTCACATGGCTTTGTGGGGGTCGATGGTGGGGCCCTCTCCCTACTCTGGGTTCCTGTGACAGGACATCCATGTAGCTCCATGCTTCCCAATACGGAAGGGCAGCCCAGGTGCAGCTTGCAGGTGTTCCACCGCCGATCAGGAATCCCTCATCACACTCAGTAGTGGTGTTTGGTTTTGATGTCACCTGGCATTGTTTCTAGGCCTTTTGAATGGGCCAAGGGAGAAAATACAGTTGTTGAAGAAAGTATCCTGATCATGCTGAAAATATCAGACTGATATTTCCTGGTGTCCTGCAGGTATTTCCCATCCTAATTTAAGATCCATTTCTTTCTTCCTGTTCTTCTAGTTGTTAACACATCTTGATTTTTTATGAGAGTAATGTATTCATTATTCTGGGTTCATATTTCATGGCAGGAATGCCACAGTATGGCTACTGCATATAGCTCAAGACCTGGGGTTCTTTTTATCCCAACAATGTCTCTCACTATGGGAGACAGTCAGATGGCTATGCTCTGAACTCCTTAAGGAAAGGCCTACTCTGCATGGCCAAACCGCTAATCACATCTGACCATGACCACTTGTTGCATAGTATTAAATTTGTACAGCTTGCTTTTAATTTTCTTTTCTATTTCTATACACTTACGGGTTTCACACCCAAAGCCACAAAGAAAAGGAATGGATTTCCAAACACTTCCCCCTGGTGTCTCCCTACCCACTGGGAACTCTCGCTGTGGGTTTGGGGCCCTCCTTCCTTTCGCTATGAGCAGAAATACTTGCTCTGAGCAAGGGAGATACGGCAGTCAGCTTCTGCAAGAATTTGCTGCTTCGGCAAGCCTGTTTACCAGTTCTGTTGTGCCTATGGGCTTGCGATGAATCACAAAGTGATGGCCATGGGTGGTGATGGGTGAGCTAAAAGGGCAAAATTTTTTGAGAAGTCACTCAGTACAGACATAAAACAATATGTCTCTGAACAAGAGACCCCTAAAAGCTGTAGTAGAAAGGGCTTACTGCTTAAAGCCAGCTTCCACTGATTAGACTGTTTACTTGTAAGCCAAAAAGGCACAGGTGAGGCAGAAAGAGTGGCTGGCTTTACTATAGTCACATTATGTGTTCAAACACATATATGTGCAACGGATCCAGCTGAACCCTTCTCGTGAAGTCAAAACCTCTTTTCTCTGGGCCATCGGCCCAGAATCAATTGGAGAGTATTTCATTTAGTCTTGGTAAAATTAAACAAAATATTTTCTTTTAATATGCAATTCTCATTCTAGGATGAACAGGTTAAACAACCTGCTTTAAATATCTGTTGCTGAAAAACAGACCAATCCAAACTTTAGGGACTTTAAAAACACACACACACACACACACACACACACAACCATTTCTTCTTTCACACAATACTGGGATGCTCAAATGTGGGAAAGGGCTTAGCTGGGCAGTTGGCTGGACACACTATAGCTGCACAGGCATCTGTTGGCTGTTGTGTGGTTGTCAAGGTTTTAGCAGTGTAATTTCTTCTGTGACAGACAATTGCCTTGATTGTAAGACTTAGAAATCAAGAAAAACTATTTTTTGTGAATGTTTTCTGTGATTCTTCTCTGTAACTTCAGAAAAGACATCAAGAGTAGATGTGGCAGGCTTTCTTTCTTTCCGTCTGTCTTTGCTGCTTCACGAGGAAGTAGAGTGTCACCTTCCACCCTTGTGCTTGCTACCTTTGAGGACTGATATCGATTCACTAAGGCCAAAACCTAAATGTCAATCGTGTCCACAGCAAAAGGTGAGTAAACAGGGCTAGAGAGCAAACTCACCCTTACTACCTGTCAAAGGGCTGACAGCTACCTGCATATGATCTCATCTCTCTCTCTCTTACTCTCTCCTGCTCGGTCTCTCTCTTCACACTCACACTTGCTCTCTCACGCTCAGTCTCTCTCTTACACACACACACACACACACACACACACACACACACACACACACTTGCTCTCTCCCGGCTCGGTGTCTCTCTTTCACACACACGCGCACACGCACACAACTTACTCTCC